CCATAGAATCTTGAAAGTGAATTGGAGTTTCTGTGGAAGACAGAAGTGAGATGTGAGCTGTAGGCAGAGGGATTGGTTAAAAGACAGTATAAGGAGTAAATTTCCATTTAATAACTTCTTCTATCTTGATTGGTTCCTTTCTATTTTTTGTCATGTTTATTTTATTCTTGAACTTCTAATACTAAGCTCAATGCTTAGTATTTATTTTAAATCTTTCTTGTTGTGAATAAAATTATATTATGTGTGACTACTGATATTTTTCTAGTCATTCCTTCCATTCATATAATTTTGCTTTTTATTTATTTATACTTGTTTGTTTATTGCCTTTTTTGATTTGATTTAGTGACTTAGTTTACTAAGTTTTTTGATTTGACTAAACTTTTCATTTTTTTGTTCTTTCATAGTTTAGAAGTAGGTACTGTGTTTCTACTTTTTTAGTGGCTACTCATAAAATTTTTTAATGCACTTAAATTTTTTATGAAAAGTGAAAATGTCGTTTGCTCAGTCATGTACAACTCTGTGACCCCATGAACCATAGCCCGCCTGGGTACTCTGTCCATGGAATTCTCCAGGCAAGAATACTGGAGTGGGTAGCCATTCCCTTCTCCAGGTGATCTTCCCAACACAGGATCAAACCCAGGTCTCCTGCATTACAGGCAGATTCTTTACCATCTGAGCTACCAGGGAAGTCTCAATTTTTTATACCAAATGCATATTTAATCAGGCTGACTATTTTTTTTCCATGAATAAGTCAAGGACCCTATCTGGCTTTTTTTCATTTCTTTTTCCTCCTCCTTCATTCTTCCTATTCAGTGAGGATTTGATATTGGAATTACAAGTGTATATATATCATTATAATTTGCTATATAATTATGACTTCAGATTATTCTTATATATTTACATTGATATTATACATGATTTTTTCAAATAATAAAGGTTATACCTTAAAACCTTTTTTGGAAGTTTTTGTTCACTTCTTTAATTTTTCATCTTCAATTTATTGTTCTTCTTAGTGCATGTTCTCTAGTAATTATTTCAGAGATTATGCATTTGAGGTGAACCATGTAAGTCCTATTGAACTAATCTCATTTTGGTTTTAGTTAGTAGTAGGTTAGATTCAAATTTATTTTCAGAATTATTTTCTTTTATACCTTTGTAGCAGCTTTTGATTAAAACAGCTACAAAGATAGTGTATCTGATGTAAATGGGATTCTCAGTTCTTCGTTTCCTCTTCATGGAAGCTTTTAGGATTTTGACTTAATCTGTAGGCCTCCCCGATGGCTCAGTGGGTAAAGAATTCGCCTGTGATGCAGGAGACACAGGTTTGATCCCTGGGTTAGGAAGAACCCCCAGAAAAGGAAATGGCAACCCATTCCAGTATTCTTGCCTGAAGAATCCCATGGACAGAGGAGCTTGGCAGGCTACAGTCCATGGGGTTGCGAAGAGTTGGAAATGACTGAACAACTGAGCATGAAGTAATCTTATTGCTGTGTGCTTTTGATCTGGTGATGGTTCCTTTCTGTCTGAGAGTTTGTGTCTTTCTTTAGTTTGGTGAAATGTTCTTCTATTATATTTTGAGCTATTTCTCTAATCCAACTTTCTTCATTCTGTCTGAAACTTGTATCAGACATATTTTGGAATGTCTACATTTATCTTCCATGTGTCTCAATTTTCCTCCATTCTTTCTAATTTTTACAATCTTTCACCCTGTGTTCTAAAAGATTTTCTTGCCTAAATTTCTTGCTTACTGATTCCCTCTTAGACTCCACATATTCTGCAGATGAGCAGAATAAACTACTATTAATAGTTATTGGCTGATACTCATTCTTCTCACTGTAGTAAATCTTTAGCTGGGCATGAGACTATAGCAGGCTTCCCACCTGTTGTGGGAAAGTGATAAAGAACCCACCTGCCAGTGTAGGAGACACAGGATACGCGGGTTCAGTTGCTGGGTTGGGAAGATCCCCTGCAGAAGGAAATGGCAACCCGCTCCAGTATTCTTTCCTGGAGAATCCCATGGACAGAGGAACCTGGCAGGCTGTAGTCCTTGGGGTCACAAAGAATTGGCCACGACTGAGCACAGCACAGCACAGAAGAGGCTATAACATTGAAAACTACATTTTACAACCTCTTTTCTATGTTGGTGAGGCCTGGGGAAAGAAATGGGAGCGGAAATGATGTGTGCCCCTTCTGGATACTGCTCTTGAAGTGATTGGGTTGCAGTTCTTTTGTCTTTTCCCCCTTTCGACAGGCTAGAAGATGAAGATAAGTTGACTAACCCCTGAGATATACAAGGAGGACGCCACCTGTAATATTAACACAGAGTTTCCTACTAGCCCTAAACCGTTTGCCAATCCAGACCCAATTCCTAGATTATCACATGAGAAGGGAAAAACTGTTGTTTAAACAACTGGGTCTTAGTATTTTTAATAAGTTCAATAAGTTTAATAGCCCCCAAACTAAACCCACTATACTGATTTTTTTTTTTTTAATTTCAAAAAGTAAACTTTGGTCACAGTCTTTTGTTGCTTCTTTTGTGTTGATTCAATGGCCTTTCCTTTCCCTCTGAAAATGTTAACTCTGTCTAGTCTGGTCTTGTTTTTTGTTTCATTTTACTTTCTAAGAATGGTTCTAAACCTGTGGCAGGCATCAGAACACCTGGAAAATGTGTGAATATACAGAATCCATGCCTATCCCAGAGTTTCCAGTTCAGTAACTCTGGGGTGGGACCTGAGAATTTTCCTTTCTACCAGTTTTCCAGTTGCTGCTGCTGCCGGTACTCTGGCCACCATACTTTGAGAACCTTTGTTTTAGTGATTCTTGCACACAAATGTAATTACTTCTACCTTAAATGAGGAATCTTTTATTTATTGGTTCCTCTCAAATCTTTGTCTATTCTTAGAGGTGTACTCCAGAGTATTTGAAATTCCTGATGCCCTGTGTGTTATAGCATATTTCTTTACTGTAGCCTAACTAACCCCAGTGGCTTTAGGGGATGGGCAAGGCTTAATTCTGGAAGGCATCTAGTTTTCTGGAGAGGAGGCTTGTATTCATTCTGGGTGTCACCAGCCTTCTGGGACACTAAGCACTCTTGTGTGTGCTAGTCACTTTGTCATGTTCAACTCTTCACAACTCCACGGACTGTAGCCCACCAGGCTCCTCTGTCCATGGGATTCTCCAGGCAAGAGTACTGGAGTGGATAGCCATTCCCTTCACCTGGTGATTTCCAGGCTCAGGGATCAAACTCACGTCTCCTTCATTGCAGGTAGATTCTTTACCATCTGAGCCACCAGGGAAGCCCACTCTTACCTTAGATACTTAGGTACTTAGAGGCAAATACCTCTGGTGATCTTTATCGGAGTTGCTTTAGAGGAGCATGTCTCTTTTGCATTTATTAAGCAGTCATCTTTTTAGTTGCCCTAAGGCCCCTTCTGCTCACAGGATCCACCAATTCTGGGATTGAAACATTTTAGAGAAACTTCTGTGTTGTCTAGCTTACCTCTCTGGTACATAATTAGGCTGTGGATTCCTTCAGTGTTTTCTTTTTGTGGGGGATTTTCCAGTACAGATTAGAAATCCTGCTAGAAAAATTCTAAAAGAGCCGTAACACTAATTCCTTCTTCAATTTATTCTGCTTGTCTCCTTTCTTAAAGGAATTTTTTCACAGTTTCTGTTCTATTGAAAGATACCTCCAGTGTCTTTACTTATTTCTGCTTCTATAATTTTTCTGTAATGATTAGGGACTAGGATGAGGGGAAAGGATGTGTCAGCCTATTCTCTACCCTCAATCTTGATCTAGCCTCTCTATATTTTACTTTTTAAAAATGAGTTTAGTAAATAAAAAACAAAAACTCTCTCACTTATGTCACAAGCTTTTTTAGACTCTAGTACTATGCTGTATCTCCAGACATATATATTTTTCTCACAATTTAATAAATTCATGTTTGCTTTGGTGATTTCCACATGTAACTTATGTGCTGTGTGGCTGTGTGCTAAGTCACTTCAGTCGTGTCTGACTCTTTGCAATCGCATGGACTGTAGCTTGCCAGGCTCCTCTGTCCATGGGATTCTCCAGGCAAGAAACTGGAGTGAGTTGTCCTGTCCTCCCCAGGGGATCTTCCTGACCCAGGGATCGAACGCGTGTCTCTCATGTCTCCTGTATTGACAGGTGGTTTCTTTACCACTAGCGCCGCTTGGGAAGCCCTGCTATGTGGTGGTTGTTCAGTTGCTCAGTCATGTCTGACTCTTTGTGACCCCATGGACTGCAGCACACCAGGCCTTCCTGTCCTTCACCATCTCCCAGAGCTTGCTCAAACTCATGTCCATTGAGTTGGTGATGCCAGCCAATGATCTTGTCCTGTCATCCCCTTCTCCTCCTGCCTTCAGTCTTTCCCAGCATCAGGGTCTTTTCCAACAAGTCAGTTCTTTGCATCAGGTGGACAAAGTATTGGAGCGTCAGCTTCAGCATCAGTCCTTCCAGTGAAGATTCAGGGTTGATTTCCTTTAGGATTGCGCCATTTTTAAAAGATATGAGCCTAAGCTAATGACAAGAAAAACTGGAGATAAATTAATATTCATAGCAATAGTAGTATTTATAGAGGACCTGTGGTGTACCTGTCTTGAGCTAAGCACTTATATGCATAATACTGTTATTATCACTCTTGCAGATGAGGGTACTAAATCACAAAGATGGCAGCTAACTTACCAAAAATTAAATAACTAGTGAGTAGTAGGAAGAGGGAAGATTTAAACTAATTTTTATTCCAGAATCTGTGCTCTTAACATCATACTAACTGTCTCCTATGAACATATACCTGCTACCAGATTTCAAAGTCAGATAGCTGTTGTATTTCTGTTAGAATGTTTGTGAGAATTTATGGCATAGAGCTAAAGCTGGACACTCAGTATTTTTTAGTAGCCGTTGAATTACAATAGAAATAATCATTGTTTCTTTTCCTTGTCTCATAAGGTTGACCATATTTTATTTTATTTAACTATAGATAATTGTGATACAGACTTACTACAGACGATGGCATGCTAAAGTTGTGGTAGAGGATTTAAGAAGACAGAAAATGTTCCGGTTGCAATGGGAAGCAGAGGAAGAACACAGGAAGATAAGAGAAAAAGAAGAGTGGATGAAACTGGATTATTACCGGAGGCATAATCCTCAAACAAAGAAAGAGTTTGAACTTCTTTATAATGCACTAGAACGTAAGTTTGAAATAGGCTTTGCATAAAATATTAATTTTTCATTAGTAGGAAAAACGGGTTTACTAAAGACAAAAGGAAGACCTTGTTATTTTAAGAAGTTGTCTGGGGAATCTGGACTAGAAAATTTTAAAATATGAATAGTGTCTTAGATTTGGGACAGGAATTAAGGCCGGAGTAAAATTGAAAATGGTTTTATATTAACAATAGATAAATAAACTATTCAGCATTAGTGCATTATCTCATTTGATCCTTATCCCTGAGAGATAAAAACAGAAAGTATTGTCCGGTCTGATTCTCCTAATGGTCTTAGAAATCTGTGAACTCAGAGTTGGACTGTCTTGGACCCCTCAGTCCAGCATCCTGTCTCTGATTCTCCTCTTTAGAGGAGATACCTTTTTTATTCCCCTCTACAATGATTATAAATATTAATATATATGTGAGTATACACATACATAGGGCTTCCTAGGTGGCACTAACAGTAAAGAAACTAGCTGCAATGAAGGAGGCGTAAGAGACACGGGTTTGATTCTTGGGATGTGAAGAAGTCTTGGAGGAGGGCATGGCAACCCACTCCAGTATCCTTGCCAGGAGAATACCGTGGACCGAGGAACCTGGTGGAACAGTCCATAAGGGCGCAGAGAGTCGGACACAACTGAAGCAACTCAGCACACACATATGTATTCTCTGCACGTTGGATTTTTATGGCTTATTTCTTCCACAGGATGTGTGCTAGTCACTGACACAGTTAAAAAGCCTGTTATTTGTACAAGCCAATCACTCCCGACTTTGGGCAGGATACACTATTTTTCTTGAAGCCTTTTCTCAGTGCCCAGCTTCTAATCTCATCTTAAATGTCACCTCCTCAAAGGCTTCTGTGACAGACAATACAGCTTGGATACCCAAATTATCATATCATGGTTCTCACTGCACCCCAAATTTTGCTTTGTAATACCACAGTTTGTAACTATATTTTGTAATGTTAATTTTTACCACTGGATTGTCAGCTCCATAAGCAAATGACTCATTTATTTTTTGGATGATCTCTTTTTTTGACTTACCTCAACAAATATTGGTAAAATGATTAAATGAATGAATGAGGGGGAACCCAAGGATGTAGCAATTCAACTGTCTCTAGCTTCTGCTTTCCCAGGAGTACCTCTAAAGTGGAAGTAACCAGAAGAGTTATTTATTACCTTCGATACGGGCAAGTAAAGTTGCGCTCTTGGGATAACAGTTAAGAATTAAAAAAATTAAAAATAGCCACAGTTTTTTATTTTTAGTTGAACACAACCTTTTTATCCAAAGAAATAATCGTCTTTGACATCTCTGTAATTACTCATAATACTAACTTCAAGCAGATTTTCTTACTGTCACTTTGTTTCTTTATATACTGTGTGTTTGTGGATGTTATTATGTGTCCTGTTACTCATGTTGTTCTTTCCTTTCTAATCAAATACAATTTTAGGTGTCAGATATTGAGTCTACTTAAGTAGCTCTATGATACTGTGCTATTTCCTGAAGACGAAACAATTAAACACCAGGTTTAACAAAGCAATAGTATTAATACATCTGTCTCTTTTATAACATGCAAAATTGAGTGGCTTTGGGAATGTGACAGTATTTGGAAGTAACAGTTAAGCTTGCTGATGGTTTCTGTGTCTGATTTCCCTTTCTCCTAGTCATTGATCTCTGCAAATACTGTTTTATTTTAAATGTCCCTTCTACTCCCATCTTCTCTCAGATGAAAGCAAAGTTTGTTTCTTAGTGTTAATAGTTAAATAGTGAGCACTGCTTGCAAGTTGTCTGTGAAAGGTCTTATTGATAAGTATAAAAGTAAATTTGTGTTATAGCAGAGCTCTATTTAAATAATATTCTAAATTTATATGGATAGACCAAAAGTATCATTGTTATCTTGTTTTGTTAACAGGCAACTGTGTAAACTAGTGGAAAATGTGCTTAATGAGATTCTACCTTTTCTACTTATTAATGGTATTTACTTGGACAAGTTACTCCTTTCTACTAAGCCTTAGATTCTTTATCTATAAAAGGACTTAATAATTTCTGGCATATCTACATTAGAGGGATTTATAAGTGAAAAATACAAAATATTACATTTATGAGAGTACTTAAAAATACAAAGATATATGCATGTGTAAGTTACTGTTATACAGTAAATAATTTTATATAAATTTTCTAAATTAAAGAAGAAGAGAGATATTTTATATGGCTAAAATGGCAACCCACTCCAGTATTCTTGCCTGGAGAATCCCATGGATAGAGGAGCCTGGAGGGCTATAGTCGATGGGGTTGCAAGAGTTGGATACGACTTAGATGATTTATATGGAAGAAAATGAAAATGAAATTTCTTACACAAAAAGAGACATCCTTTTAGTTTTCTTCTAGGCCTAAAATTCTGCATAAGAACTCCAAGAATAGTATTGTTAAAGTTCTGCTTTTTGGGAGGAATTAAAATTCTGGTTCACAAGCTAAGTACTTTATAATAATAATTTTCATTCTATATTCTTTACTCCGGTCTTTGAAACTGTTGCCCTCTTGTGGTTCATAGTAATAATTGCACAGTTTTGTAAAACTGATAACAAAGCTTAACTTTTTCTCCAGATAACCTGTTCTTCAGTAATAAAAGCAAAATAAGTCAATTTAGGAGAATGATTTTAACTATGTAAGATAATATGCTATATCAAAGACAAGAATATCTCCAGGCAACGTTTGATTTTTATGTCTTTTTTTTTAATATATAGCAGTATGTTGTGGAGAAGGCGATGACACCCCACTCCAGTACTCTTGCCTGGAAAATCCCATGGACAGAGGAGCCTGGGAGGCTGCGGTCCATGGGGTCGCAAAGAATCAGACATGACTGAGCAACTTCACTTTCACTTTTCACTTTTCACTTTCATGCACTGGAGAAGGAAGTGGCAACCCACTCCAGTGTTCTTGCCTGGAGAATCCCAGGGACAGAGGAACCTGGCAGGCTGTAGTCCATGGGGTCACAAAGAATTGGCCACGACTGAAGTGACTTAGCAGCAGCAGCAGCAGCAGTATGTTGAGGGTGACTTCTTTTGTTATCTGAACTGTCACTGTTATCTCAGACTTGTAGACATCATCCTGAGGAAATTAACAGCATGGCTTGTGCTCAGAGTTCTTTTCCTTGCCCTGTGATTCTCTGTACATACTGCTCTCTTAACTGTCCATGTCCGTACTTTAGGGCCTCAGATAGGACCTTGCTTATTAGGTCTAGGCAATGTTTGTTGAATTGACTCTTCTACCCTTTGGTGATGGAAGCAAGGTCCAAAGCTATAAAGAGCAGTATTGCATAGGAACCTGGAATGTTAGGTCCATGAATCAAGACAAATTGGAAGTGGTCAAACAGGAGATGGAAGAGTGAACATCAATATTCTAGGAATCATTGAACTAAGATGGACTGGAATGGGTGAATTTAACTCAGATGACCATTATATCTACTACTGTGGGCAGGAATCTCTTAGAAGAAATGGAGTAGCCATCATAGTCAACAAAAGAGTCCGAAATGCAGTACTTGGATGCAGTCTCAAAAATGACAGAATGATCGCTGTTCATTTCCAAGGCAAACCATTCAGTATAAGGGTAATCCAAGTCTATGCCCAAACCAGTAATGCTGAAGAGGCTGAAGTTGAAGGATTCCAAGAAGACCTGCAAGACCTTATAGAACTAACACCCAAAAAAGATGTCCTTTTCATTACAGGGGACTGGAATGCAAAAGTAGGAAGTCAAGAAACACCTGGAGTAACAGGCAAATTTGTCCTTGGAGTACAGAATGAAGCAGGGCAAAGGCTAATAGTGTTTTGCCAAGAGAATGCACTGGTCATAGCAAACACCCTCTTCCAACAACACAAGAGAAGACTCTACACATGGACATCACCAGATGGCCAATGCGGAAATCAGATTGATTATATTTTTTGCAGCCAAAGATGGAGAAGCTCTATACAGTCAGCAAAAACAAGACCGGGAGCTGACTGTGGCTCAGATCATGAACTCCTTATTGCCAAATTCAGACTTAAATTGAAGAAAGTAGGGAAAACCACTAGACCATTCAGGTATGACCTAAATAAAATCCCTTATGATTATACAGTAGAAGTGAGAAATAGATTTAAGGGATCTGATAGACAGCCTGAAGAACTATGGGCGGAGGTTTGTAACTTTGTACAGGAGATAGGGATCAAGACCATCCCCAAGGAGAAGAAAGGCAAAAAAGCAAAATGGTTGTCTGAGGAGGCCTTACAAATAGCTGTGAAAAGAAGAGAGAAAGGCAAAGGAGACAAGGAAAGAAATACCCATTTGAATGCAGAGTTCCAGAGAATAGCCAGGAGAGATAAGAAAGCCTTCTTCAGTGATCAGTACAAAAAAAAATAGAGGAACATGATAAAATGGGAAAGACTAGTGATCTCTTCAAGAAAATTAGAGATACCAAGGGATCATTTCATGCAAAGATGGGTTCAATAAAGGACAGAAATGGTATGGACCTAACAGAAGCAGAAGATATTAAGAAGAGGTGGCAAGAATACACAGAAGAACTATACAAAAAGATCTTCGTGACCCAAATAATCATGATGGTGTAATCATTCACCTAGAGCCAGACATCCTGGAATGTGAAGTCAAGTGGGCCTTAGGAAGCATCACTATGAACAAAGCTAGTGGAGGTGATAGAATTCCAGTTGAGCTATTTCAAATCCTAAAAGATGATGCTGTGAAAGTGCTGCACTCAATATGCCAGCAAATCTGGAAAACTCAGCAGTGGCCACAGGACTGGAAAAGGTCAGTTTTCATTTCAATTCTAAAGAAAGGCCTTGCCAAAGAATGCTCAAACTACCTTACAATTGTACTCATCTCACATGCTAGTAAAGTAATGCTCAAAATTCTCCAAGCCACGCTTCAGCAATACGTGAACCGTGAACTTCCAGATGTTTAAGCTGGTTTTAGAAAAGGCAGAGGAGCAAGTGATCAAA